CAGGAGCCCTCTGCAAGCTCCCTTAGCCTTCCATCTGATAACTTGCTGAACTCTGCTCGTGACTCAACTCACCCTCTCAGCAGGGCCAAGGGTGGACAGGGATCATCTTTGGCTGAAAGCATCCCCAGGAAGCCTGGTGCAGCTCATCACACCCCATTCCCTCCAGCATGCTGCCTGCAAAACACCCCAGTCCGATGCTGAGGATATTATTATGGTCTAAAGCAGAGCACCCTCTCCTTCCTCTGCAGAGGAAGCCCTCCCCTGCAACATCCTGACTGTGCCAGAGAATTTCTGAATTTGGTGGGTCAACCAGAGACTGTAAACCAGAGGGGAGATTCAGTGACCTCAGTGTCAGTCAAGGAGGGCTTCCTGGTGGAGGGGGCTTCATTCACTCTATTCTACACAGCCCATATACATACCCTAACCTGCACAAAGGCTATGCCACCAGCTTCACCTCCAGGGTGCTCTGAGAAGCTCAGAGTTCTCACCCCACCTCCCTCCTTCCAAGCACACCAGGGTCAGAGCACAGGTGCCTCTGCAGCCCTCAGTTCCCAGTGACTGTTCTCTCCAACATTCCTGACTTTTCATCATAGCTCTTCCTATTAGCTGTGATCATTTATTCACGCCTGTTTAATGTGTGACCCCTGACTAGAGAGGAAGCCCACTGAGGGCAAGGCCTTACCTTCTCAGGCGCTATCGATCCCCGGCACAGGCAAGACACTCAGTAGGCGCCCTTCACTGCTTGCTGGACAAGGCGGGGTGGTCATCAGAGCGAAGCATTTTAGAGCTCACCCACTTCACCTCCTCATCATCTTACAGACCTGGCCTTTGGGCCCAGACTGGGGAAGGGGCGTGCCCAAGACCCTTTAGATAATATTTATTTTTAGAGAATATTTCATACAATGTAGGAGACCCACACTCTGTTGGGCGGGTGAGTGTGTTAGCAGCCTTCTGGGGGCAGGGAGTCTGTCCCCACATTCCCTACGGAAGACCTTGATGACAGCCAGACCCTAAGCTCAAACTCCTACCTCAGAATAGCCGTGGGGGGCTGAGGGCGGGAACAGTGAGAGGGACGAGCCCACCTGGGCAGAAAGGGGACTGCGCATGCCCCCCAGTCTCTGCTGGATCTTCCCGGTCTGCCCACGTCCTGCCACTGCCTGCAAGGTACAGGCCTTGCCCTGCCTCCACCAGGAAGGACAGTAGGGCCGCCGGGACCTCAGCTGAGGACCACTGTCTCTCTGAGCTGTCTCACAGGTGGGCCTGCCCCTCAGCAGGGCCCTGCCTCCAGCAGGAAGGACAGTAGGGCCACCAGGACCTCAGCCGAGGACCACTGTCTCTCTGAGCTGTCTCACAGGTGGGCCTGCCCCTCAGCAGGGCCCTACCTCCACCAGGAAGGACAGTAGGGCTGCCAGGACCTCAGCCGAGGACCACTGTCTCTCTGAGCTGTCTCACAGATGGGCCTGCCCGTCAGCAGGGCCCTGCCTCCACCAGGAAGGACAATAGGGCCACCAGGACCTCAACTGAGGACCACTGTCTCTCTGAGCTGTCTCACTGGTGGGCCTGCCCCTCAGCAGGGCCCACGAGCAATTGTGCAGGCCTCTGAGGAAGGGGCTTGTGACCTTCCAGGTAGGCCTCTGCTCTACCGTTGCCGAGAGAGCTGAAGTTCTCTCTGTAAAGCCCACCCTACAGGAGATCATGCCAGCAGGCAGGCAAGCTAGAAGGGGGCTCCCTTGACTTTTCAGCCTGGGAGCCTTCTGTGGGCTGTCTGGGCTGCCATCTCCCTTCTCCTGGCCTCCTCTGAATTGAGCTCAGGCCTGAGATAGGGACCCTTGGTGAGTATGTGGGGCCCTGACTGTCCCCAGAACTAGGAGGCTGAGCTTGGGAGGCCCTCCTGTGAGCCCTGGCCCTGTCTTCTGGGGGTCTCTGGCAGCCTGTAGGGTGACCAGCCAACTGTCCTGGTTCAACTGGACTGATGGGTTTTCTGGGACATGGGGCTTTCCATGCTAAAATCTAGACAGTCTCAGCAAACCAGGACAGTTGGTCACCCTAGCAGGGGAGGGGGCCCACTTCATCCCCCAGTTTCTCTATCCCGTGCACCCCTTCCTGCTCGCAGAGGCCCAGCCCTCTCTCCTCCTATTCCACTGCCTCTCGCTCTGCTCCTGCTCCTGCTGCCTCCAACCAGTGGGCCAGCCCCACCCCAGCTGCGGCTGCTCGACCCGGACTCCCGTACCCCAGAAGGCCTCACTGCCACTGACTAGGGGTGCCACGTCAGCTTTTCCTGGAAGGCAAAAAATGTTCCTGATGAGAAAATGGAGAGAGACGTACAAGCCCAGCAGAGACAGAGAACTAGAGAGAAACAGAAATGAGAGAGACCACAGAGAAACAGAATCACAGCCTCCTTTCCAGAGGTAGAGAAAGGGAGCAAGGGGGAAAGACCCAGAAAGAGAGACGGAGGAAGGAGGTCAATGGACGAGGAAACAGGCTCTGAGGGGAGAGAGCAGCTGGGGACCACTGCGAGGTGTGGGCAGCTGTGGGTGTGGGCTGTTGCCGTCCCACCAGGAGGGGCAGAGGCTGCCTTGGGCCTTCTACTGCATGCCCCCGCCAGCAGCCTGCCGGATTAGCTGGGAGGAAGCTCGGCACGCTCCTCGCAGGGCTTGGTTAAGCCTGTGGGTGTCCTGGGAGCGAGAGGCTGTCCTAGTCCTTGAGAAGATAGGGTTACGGAAAGAGGTTTGGCTGGCTGGTGGGACTGTGTGCACTCACGTGTGTGTGTGTGTGTGTGTGTGTGTGTGTGCACACGCACATGCATGGGGGGACATAGAGCCATCTGCCTAGGTCACCAAATCATAAGGCTCCCTTTTTCTAGGCCTTCGTGCCTTTGTCATACATGAGACTTGGTCTAAAGTCCTTCAGCCCCTGTGTTCTGCCTGTCTAGAATCTCAGAAATACTGACTGACAAGAAGAGCCTGTGCGCACGCACGTGTTCACACACAATTTCCATGCGCATGTGTGCGACAGGTGAGCCTGTGCCCGCCTTCCACGTGTGTTGGTTGTTCATGCACCAGCGTGGGGATGTGAGCTGGAGTGAGCAGGAGATCGTGGCATGAGTGCCCAGGCTGTGGATGGGGGAGGCCCTGGCATCACCTTAGCCCAAAGGTCACAGCCGACCATCCATGGGGCGGCCTCGCTCCCATTTCCTCCCCATTCTCCTCCACCCCTTCCCACCACTCTCTTCTCGGGCTCTCTGACCTAGGAACGCATGGAGCCTCAGTGGTCAGCCTGGCTGCCCCTCTGGCCTCACCCGCTTTGCTCTGGCCCCTCTCACTGCGTGCAGCCCCACGCGTTCCCTGCTCCGAAACTGGGGCTGCAGCTCCTGCTACTTCCTCTAACTAGACAAAGTCCCGCCATACTTGCAGGGCTCCCTTCCTCTTGTCTTCTGAGGTTTGTTCAAATGTCAGCTCCCCAGAAAGGTCTTCCCAGGCCACCCTCTATGAACAGTCTTTGTCCCTCTCTGTCCCCTCACCTTGCCTTATTTGTCCTTCTTCCCAACCCTCCCCGACATCTCTGTTAGTGTGTTTCCTATCTGTCTCTGCAGTCTAAATGTGAGCTCCACATAGGTAGGGACTTGGTTCTGTCCACTGCTATCCCCCCAAAGCCCCGCAAAGGGCCTGCCACTAAGTAGGTGCTCAATGAATAGCTGCTGGACAAAGGAATGAATGAACAATGACCTCGGCTTTCCAGCTGGAGCCTTTGCCTCCCTCTCTCCCGCCCTCCTCCATCTGCCCAGGGCACAGCCCTTCCTGCTATCACTGCCCTTCTACTCAGGGCCATCTCCAGCCACATTTCTGGCCCCCTCTCCTGACGCCATTCCCACTGCCCTCTCCTGAACTTCTTCTCGGTCCTCAAGGACTGTTTCTGGCAGCAGCAGCAGCAGCAGCAGCAGCAATTGAAGCATATTTCATAGGATTATTTTTGTTCTTCCCCAAACCAGCCCCACAGTTTCCAGGAATGCAGACCTTGGCCACGCTCCCAGGGCACACCGCAGACCTCGAGTTTTCAGCCCCAGCCATTCCCACAGGGTAGGGGTGGGACTGGGGAGTGCTATGAGTGGCAGTGACTGTTCAGATCGAGGTTCTAGACTGGAGCCAGTGCTATAGGGTCAGGATCACGTCCCTCTGCTAGCTGTGGGGGACTGGGAATGGGCCAAGGGCCATTTGTTAGGGGTGAGCATGAAGGGCCTGGATTAGATGTGGGTGCAGGTTGAGTGGGTGGGGCAGGGGTAGTTTAACCTGAGGATGAAGCAGGATCTGGGGGCTGGAACGGGGGAGTCACAGTCATCCCTCTGCTCCATGAGAAGATGGAATTGACAGTGAAGGCTTGGAGGGTAATGCAGAGAGAGAGAAAAGGAGAAACAGGAGGACCCAGCAGAAAGCAAGGGCGAGGGAGAGGGGAGGGAGGGAGACTGAGACATCAAGAGATCAGTGGTGGCAAAGGCCTGGGTCAGTCAGGAGGAGAGTGGAGCCTCTCGCTGACAGCAGAAAGCCATTTGACGTGGCAGACACCTGCTTCTCAGGAAGAGGTGAGGCTGCAGCGCTGTGTCATCCAACACCTCCCCACCGGCCCCCAGCCACCAGACAGGGACTGTGGGCAGAGCCCGGGCTTATCCCAACCCTGAGGGGCCACTGGGAGGTGCAGGTGGGAGCACCAGACTGGAGATGGCGGGAGGAGAGACGCTCCAGCAGAGAACGCTGACCAAGAAGAGGCTGGGCGAGCAAGTTGTGCTGACCTCAGCCCAGGGAACCTCTTGGGAGGAGGCAAGAACACAGGTGGCCAGTGCACCCGGGGAAGTGGCATTGTCTGCAGGGGCCTCTCAGAGAGCAGGCCAGGCAGGACAGAAGGTGACACAGCCACTGAGGGTTGTAGAAGCTCCAAGAAGGGAGGTGAGAGCTGGGGATCGGGAAGACTCGAGGGACCAGGTGAGAACTTGGATAACTTTCGTAAGTTTTATTGAAGTGAACCATGCAAATGGCAAAACAGAGCATCACATTGGCAGACAGGCCGCTAACAAAGTACTACAGCCCTCCTTCTCCCGCCCTTGACTTCTCCTGTGCACTTCCCAGACCAACTGATGGTTTCTGGTCCTTCTGCTGCCGTGGTTACACACGTCAGGCCTGAGCATCACATGTGCAGGGCCCGTGACAGGGTGTAATTAATTGGAGGCCCATATACCATCTTTGTAAATATTTTATTTATTTTTGAGACGGAGGCTCGCTCTTGTCTTGCAATAACAAAATACCTGAGATTGGGTCTTGCGGCCCAGGCTGGAGTGCAGTGGCACCATCTTGGCCCATTACAATCTCCGCCTCCTGCCTCAGCCTGGGATTACAGGCACGCACCACCATGCCCTGCTAATTTTTGTATTTTTGTAGAGACGGGGTTTCACCATGTTGGCCAGGCTGGTCTTGAACTCCTGACCTCAGGTGATCTGTCTGTCTTGGCCTCCCAAAGTGCTGGGATTACCGGCATGAGCCACCACACCCAGCCATATGTGTAAATATTTTAAAGTTATAAATTCTACAAACGGTTTAGTATGTCCTATTCTCCCATCATGACAGCTGTGTCTTGATAACTACTTGGAAGGCCAAATTAAAAATTTAGAATTCTTAGTGTCTTCATAAAGAGGGGAAATTTGGATACAGAAGGAAGACGAGATGAAGACACAGGGAGAACATAAAGGAAGATGAAAGTAGCTGGTGGAGCCATGTATCTGCTAGCCAAGAAGCATCAGAGATCTCCAGCAAGCCAACAGATCCCAGGGGAGAGACCTGGAACAGATCCTCCCCCACAGAAACCGACCCTGCTAACACCTTCACTGTGAGACGATAACTTTTTGTTGTTTGAGTCATATTGTTTTTGTTTTTGTTTAGATGAAGTCTTGTTCTATCACCCAGGCTGGAGTGCAGTGGTGTGATCTCAGCTCACTGCAACCTCCGCCTCCCAGGTTCAAGCGATTCTCCCGCCTCAGCTTCCTGAGTAGCTGGGATTGCAGGCACCTGCCATCACGCCCGGCTAATTTTTGTATTTTTAGTGGAGACGGGGTTTCACTACATTGACCAGGCTGGTCTTGAACTCCTGCGCTCAGGTGATTTGCCCACCTCTGTCTCCCAAAATGCTGGGATTACAGGCATGAGCCACCATGCAGGGCCAAGTCACACTAACAAACTATGGATATTAACAAAGTATCCACACTTCATTACGGCAGTCCTAGGAAACTCGTTCACTCTCCTATGAAAAAACAAGGTTTTAGTTCACGTGTATGACTCCCTCTCATCCCTCCTTATCCTCCTGGTTTTTGCAAATTAAAATATTCTTGGTTCTTCTGCTGGTTACCTTCAAGCTCTGACTAATAGACCTTACTTCCCACTCCACAGAGTGAAAATACGAGAAACCGACTTCTATCTTTTCTCTACCTCTCAGGTCTTTCATAGTCTTACTTTTACATTTTAAATGATGATAGCATTTAGATACTATTCTGAAGTCATAATTCTTACAGCCACATTTTGTCCATAAATTGACTGTAAAAGTTAAAAAAAATCAATAAACCAATATTACATTCTCATGCCTATGTGAGTACAGTCCACTGCCACTGCCGAGCCAAGGAATATCCAAGAATTACATTTCCTTCCCTTTGGATCCAGTGTCCTGATGCCCAGGCTGCTCAGAAGAGGCGCTTAGCGTCAAGGTCAAATGTATTCAGTTCCATGCTCCATCAACTGCTCAAAGACATGCCACATTTCATTTGCTTTATATTTGGACTACAGCTTTTCCTGCACAGCTTTTCATTTTCCTGGAGTTTCTAATTGCTTTCTTTATTCTAATTGTCAAAAGAATAATGTGCCTTCACCCAATACTAAAAATAACCCAGCTTTGTACACATATTCTCCTGCCATTACCCACTTTTAAAAGCACCTACTTTCTTAATTACTTGCCTTATTGACATATGAGCTTTCTTCTTTTTATTTTTGCTTTTCAAGCAACGGAAAGCCCTTTGTTACCCCAAATCCTCTTCAGCTGCAGAACCCAGAATGAGGCTGGGCTTTAGAGCATCTAATCAGAGCCCACTCGAAGCTTCACTCCCTTCCCTGACACATGATCGTAATGCTCCTTCTGGAATCTCACTGATGTTGGGGGAGCTTTCTACTCCAAGGAGACCCATCTGCTTTGGAGAAGTTTTAAGGGTCTTCTTCTTGGAAAAAACTCTGTCTTAGTTCATTTTTGTCGCTATAACAAAATACCTGAGATTGGGTCATTTATAAAAAAGAGAAATGTGTTTTCTTGCAGTTCTGGAGGCTGTAAAGTCCAAGACCAAGTCGCCAGCAGGTTTGTTTGTCCGCCAAGGGCTGTTCCCTACTTCCAAGATGGTGCTTTGCTGCTGCATCCTCCAGGGGGAGGAACGCCGTGGTCTCGAGTGGCAGAAGGGATGGAAGGGCTGTAAAAGAGTGAATCCATCTGTCAAGTCTTTTTATAAGAGGCCTAACCCTATCAGTTTATGAGGACGGTGCCCTCGTGACTCAATCGCTTCCTCAAGGCCACGTTTCTTGATACTGTTGCATAGGGGATTCTGTTTCAACATGAATTTTAGAGAAGACACTATTATACAAACCTTAGCAAACTCCAGTCATCATCAGGCTCATGACTCAGCACCCAGTGAGGAGGACCACATTCTTTTGCCTTTGTCTTCCTCCTTCGTGGTGCTCACATAGGAGATGACCCCAAATGTCTGAGGATAAAGGATAAAAAAGTTCTCCCTCACTCCTGTGTTCTCTATTGTGTCGGGTTGCTGTTTGCTTGTTTCTTGTTTGGTTTGGTTTTGAGATGGAGTCTTGCTCTGTCACCAGGCTGGAGTGTAGTGGTGCAATCTCTGCTCACTGCAACCTCCACCCTCCAGGTGCAAGTGATCCCAGCTCTCAAGTGATACCTCCCTGTAATCCCAGCTACTCCAGAGGCCGAGGCAGGAGACCTCAGCCTCTGGGGTAGCTGGGATTACAGGCGGGCACCACCACGCCTGTAATCCCAGCTAATTTTTGTATTTTTAATAGAGATGGGGTTTCATCATGTTGGCCAGGCTGGTCTCCATCCTTGACCTCGTGATCCACCCACCTTGGCCTCCCGAAGTTCCTAGATTACAGGCGTCAGCCACCGCGCCCAGCCCTGCTTTGTCTTTTAACCCATGAGGACTCTCTCCCAAGGTAGAGAGGAGTTGGGGGAGCATTGTGACTGGCCAGCTTATCTTTAGGGCATGTGACCCATTAGGCTGGGCAGCGGCACACATATTTGAAATCCAATCTATGCCCAGGTGGTTCCCTCCCTAGGGAAGCAACCTCCAGTATTTTGGCTGGGAAAGAATTAGAAAACAATTAATTAATTACCTATTTTTAACCCTTTTTTTCTTTAGGCAAGAATTATCAAAAATCATATCTACCATTCTTTAAATTCCTACATTCTTAGTATATCCCAGGCTCCCCTTACACATGCCATCTCCTTACAGAAACACAGGGTAGGTACTTTTATTGCCCACTCTAGAGAAAAAAGCACTGAGACTCAGGTTTAGGAATTTTTCAACGTCCTCTTGGTTAGGAAATAGGGGACTAGAGTTTGAACCCACGTCTTTCTGACCCCGAAGCCCTGGTTCTTTGGTTCTGTTGAGAGCCCATGCAGACCAGATCGGTTTGGTTTCAGCAGGAAAGGGCAGTTTTAAAAACATGAAGGTGGCCAGGCACAGCGGCTCACACCAGTAATCCCAGCACTTTGGGAGGCCGAGGCGGGCAGATCAGGAGGTCAGGAGTTCCAGACCAGCTTGGCCAACATGGTGAAACCCCACCTCTACTAAAGATGCAAAAAATTAGCTGGGCATGGTGGCACATGCTTGTAATCCCAGCTACTTGGGAAGCTTAGGTAGCGGAATTGCCTAAACTGGGAGGTGGAGGTGAGGTTGCAGTGAGCTGAAATCGCACCATTGCACTCCAGCCTGGGTGACAGGGTGAGACTCTGTCTCAGAAAAACAACAACCAACCAACCAACCAACCAACCAACCAAAACCATGAAAATAGACTTTCACCATAATCAAGAGCCCTTCAGAGAGCCAGTGGGAGCTGGGATGCAGGAAGAGAGCTGGGACAGTTTCCCATTGGCTCTTCTCTTGTGGACATCAGGAGCCAGTACTGGGGCTTGGATATGACAGCTCAGGATAAGAGCAAAGCTTATGAACTCAACACCTGGCAAAGATAAGACAGATTAGAAACTGGGGGAGAATAGAGGACTGGGGGAGGCCCTGAGAGTTGTTAGGAGGCTGCATCAACAGCCCAGAGGAGGAGCAGTGGTGAGGGAGGGGTAGTAAAGTGAACAGGTGTGAGAGGAGGCCAAGAAATGACCACATGGGCCATGAACTGGGCCTAGGGTGAGCAAAGGGGGCTTTCCCCAGACTGGCAGAAAGAGGGCGGTCACTGTTCTGTGTGATGTTCACTAAAGCGGCTTCAGTCTGGAGACGCTCATTACTCCATCCTCCCCATTAGGCTCCAACCATGAGGCAGGCAGTGAGCCAGGTGTGGGGACAGAACAGGGGACAAGAGTGACAGGGGGTTGCCTTCATGGAGCTCGCAGCATGGTGACATGGACACTGCCCATCAAAAATAAACTTTCTGGGTCAGGCGTGGTGGCTCACATCTGTAAACCCGCCACTGGGGCAAGAGGATCGCTTGAGCCTAGGAGTTCAAGGTTGGTCTAGGCAACATGGCAAAAGCCCATTTCTACAAAAAATAAAAAAGTAGCTGCACGCAGTGGCACATTCTTGCAGTCACAGCTACTTAGGAGGCTGAGGAGGGAGGATCGATTGAGCTGGGGAGTTTCAGGCTGCAGGGAGTCATGATTGTGCCTCTGCACTCCAGCCTGGGCAACAGAGTGAGACCCTGTGTCACAAAAAAATAAATAAACTTTCTGAGAAAGAGTTCTGCCCTTCTCCCACCCCAACTCCGTCTTTCCTCTTGAGACACGAAGACCTGAGGACTCTCAGAGCTGTGGGTCTGAGCTCCGGGAGAAGAGGCAGTCTGGTTGATACACCCCCCACCTCCCCAGGGCACTCTTCCTCAGCCAAAGCTGATTTTTTTTACCCAGAATATGCTCAGTGTCACACTCATTCCCTGGACCCTTTCCCCACCTATTCCCATTCTTCCGTTCCACAGCCAGGCTTTTCTTTCTTTATGTTTTCTTTTTGTCTCGGTTCCCTCTGAGGCAGTTGTGAATGCCGATCACCTCCGTGAAATTTTAAAATAGGGAAATACCACTACACATCTATTAGATCGCCGAAAAGTTTTACAAATGTAGCTGAAATTATCCAGCGCTAGCTAGCATGCAGAGCAGCTCATACACTGCTGATGGGAATGCGAAAATGGTTCAGCCACTTGGGAAGAACATTGGGGAGTTCCTCACATAGTTAAACATACACTCATCCTATCACCTATGAATTCCACACTTAGGCAGTTACCCAAGAAAAATGAACATGTGCACACAAGAACTTCTATGCACATGTTTATAATCACCAAGAACTGGAAACAACCCAAATATCTATCAGCCAGTGAATGGATAAAACATCACCGCCACCACCAGCGGTGCATTATATCTGACAATGGAACACCACACAGCAGTCAAAAGGATTGAGCTACTGATTTGCACAACAGCCACATGGATAAACCATAGAAACATGACACCAGGCCGGGTGCAGTGACTCATACCTGTAATCCCAGCACTTTGGGAGGCTGAGGTGGGTGGATCACCTGAGGCCAGGAGTTCGAGACCAGCCTGGCCAATATGACAAAACTCCATCTCTACTAAAAGTATAAAAATTATCTGGGAATGATGGTAGGTGACAGTAATCCCAGCTACTCCAGAGAGACTGAGGCAGGAGAATCGCTTCAACCTGGGAGGCGGAGTTTGTAATCAGCTGAGATAGTACCATTGCCTTCCAGCCTGGACAACAGAGAGAAACTCCATCTCAAAAAAAAGAAAAAAAAAAAGAAAGAAAGAAAAGAAAAAAGAAACATGATGCCAAGTGACAGACAGGATCACCAATGGTTTAGAAAGACAACCCAGGACACAGCCATGCCATGCCAGATCAACACAAAAGCCATAATAATGCCATATATAATAAACAATTATACACGTATGTGCTATTGCTTTTAAAACATTACTATAAAATATGGAAGATAGGTGCTTATTTGAAATTATATATTCTCTGTATTACTTACATTTTTATCATATAAAAGTTATTTAAACCAAACAATAGCACTAATTAATAGCAACTTATGATAATAAATAGTAAGACTACATGGGGAGAAATGCCAGATAGGTGATGGGGAGGAAGGCAGCAAATCACACTCCCATATGTACCTATGCAACAATCTTGCATGTTCTTCACATGTACCCCAAAACCTAAAATGCAATAAAAAAAAGACTAATTAAATATGTGTGAAAAACTAAAACTATTTTTATATTTTTTTATCCTTAGATATGGCAATTTGTTTTTAGCTTTTTAAAAGTCCTTATTGAATATTTAAAGTTTATGGGCTATTTATTTTCTATTGTTAAGATATGTAAACATAAGACTTATAAAAAGGAAAACATAACTATTCACAATAGCAAAGACATGGAATCAACCTAAATACCCATCACTGATAGACTGGATCGAGAAAATAAATGTAGCACATGGCCGGACGCGGTGGCTCACACCTGTAATCACGGCACTTTGGGAGGCCGAGGTGGGCAGATCATAAGGTCAAGAGTTTGAGATCAGCCTGGCCAACATGGCGAAACCCTGACTCTACTAAAAATACAAAAATTAGCTGGGTGTTGTGTCAGATGCCTGTAGTCCCAGCTACTCAGGAGGCTGAGGCAGGAGAATCTCTTGAACCCAGGAAGTGGAGGTTGCAGTGAGCCAAGACCATGCCATTGCACCGCAGCCTGGGCAACAGAGCAAGACTCCGTCTCAAAAAAAAAAAAAAAAAAGAAAGAAAATGTAGCACATATAGACCATGGAACATTATGCAGCCATAAAAAGGAACAAGATCATGTCCTTTGCAGGGACACCAATGCTGTTGGAAGCCATTATCCTCGGCAAACTAACACAGGAACAGAAAAGTAAACCCTGCATGTTCTCACTTATAAGTGGGAGCTGAATGATGGGAACACATGGAAACATCAAGGGGAACAACACACAGTGGGGCCTGTTGGGAGGTGGGGAGAAGGGAGAAAGGAGAACATCAGGAAGAACAGCTGACAGATGCTGGGCTTAATACTGAGATGATGGGATGATCCATGCAGCAAACTACTGTGACGCATTTACCTGTATTAAAAACCTGCACAGCCTGCATATGAACCCCTGAACTTCATAAAAGTTGAAAAATAATTTTTTTTTTTTTAGACAGAGTTTCGCTCTTGTTACCCAGGCTGGAATACAATGGCATGATCTCGATGCACTGCAACCTCTGCCTCCTGATTTCAGGCAATTCTCCCGCCTCAGCCTCCTGAGTAGCTGGGATTACAGGCACGTGCCACCGTGCCCAGCTAATTTTTTTGTATTTTTAGTAGAGACGGAGTTTCACCACGTTGACCAGGATGGTCTCAATCTCTTGACTTCGTGATCCACCCACCTCGGCCTCCCAAAGTGCTGGGATTACAGGCTTGAGCCACCACGCCAGGCCAAAAAATAATTTTTAAAAAAGGAAGCCAAAAAAATAAAAAGGAAAATGTAAATACATTAGGATGGATGAAACAGGGATTTCATATACTTGATTTAAAAAACCCAATGTCGTGTTTCCTTCTGCCCCATGCTACAGTACGATGCCTTTTTACTTTCAGCATCCTTTCCTAATGGTATTTCTCTGAATTGCCTGTGGCTTTAGGACATCCATCTTTTCTTTTGTGCAATGATAAAACTGAATCGAGACAAGTTTAACATTCACTTTGGCCTGCCCCTCTGCTCTTCTCAAGCCCACATCACATTGATTCCTGGTGTCAGTCTGATGTCATGACACAAGGCTAAATACCTTCTCAACAACGCTGTGAGGGCATGGAATACTTAGGCTTTTATTTGCTAACAGCAGCAGGTTTTTAGACTTGTAGGAATTCATTTCCATGTCTCCATAAATGTCCATCCCCTGTATCTACAGGCTTTTTTGGGAGGCCAGCTGTAAGCCGAGATTGAGCCACTGCACTCTAGCCTGGGCGATAGAGCGAGACTCTGTCTCAAAAAAAAAAAAAAAAAGAATCTATCAATTCTCTTTTGCATCCATAAATTCATCATACAGCCTATCCATGTGTAAAATGTCCGTCATTGTAAAACACCTTGAAGCACATTGGGTGTCATCATAAGGTAAGCCTCTTTTCTCTGGAAAAATGGTTTTAGAGCAGGGCGGTAACTTGAACTTGTGAAATTGAAGCTGGATTCCAAATAAGTTACAGTTTTAGTAAAGAAATTGAGAAAACCTTGTTTAACTTGGCTGTCCTTTCCTAGTGATGATTTTTTAAGTTTTGAAGCAGTCTTATTTCCAAGAAATGAGTCATTTGTCAACTAGATGAGTTTTTGTCACAACCTACACCTAAATGGAACGAGTTAGATGCACTTAGTTCATCCTTCTCTGCAGCTTTTTTAAAGATTACAAAACAGTCTTGGAGAAACGGCATATAACTTTCCATTTTACAGTAACCCTTTTCTCTGTTCTCATCCTCGATGTATTTCCAAAGCAGTGAAGGACACTCTTCTCATCCTACACTTTGAAAATATGATTTTACAGTAGGTCAACATGCTAACATAAAGTGCCTCTGCATGCTTTGAGGAAACTGAAAAGTCACCCAAAATGTCATTATGGAAGTGTCAATGTCACAGGTAGGCAAATCACACCTCTTTTTGGCAGTGTTATGTAAAAGGTACACAGGAGTCAGGATGTTTAGCAGGAAATTTAAAAAATTTTCTTTGGTAAGTTTACAGACTGAATGGAATTTTCCAGAATTTACATTTGCACCATTTGCCAAATATGCAGATAGAAGAGCAGTCTAGTTTGCATTTGGATACAATATCAACAAGCTTTTGTTTTATAAATTCTGTGATTTCATCACAGTCTTCATAAAAGTCAGGAAAACAGCTTGAAACTCCATTTTCCAAATAAAAAATACCTAAGAGCTAGGGAGAACCATGTTTTTGTTGCTATGACTCCACACATTGCTTGACAGAGTTTAAAATGCATCCTTGCTGGAGCAGCTCTCAGGATCTGCTTTATAGCCATAAAAAGTCAACTCGTCTGTTATCAAAATTTCCCCTTTTGTTCCTTCCTACTTGGGCCATTTCAGCTGCAACTTCTGAATCAGGAAATGTAACTTCACTCAGTTTCATACAGCATCAAGGTAAAAATAGAATAAGGAGAATTTCTTTGTGTGACATGCCCAGGCTGATTCAGTGGCTGCTATTTGCCACTGCGCATTAGTGTCTTTTTGGAAGATGAGAAAACTTGGAAGATTGATTGATTGATAAGTACCTGTTTCCTCCCAGGGTGGTGAGATTCAGATCTATATTGGTGAACAGCTCTCTCCCTCCTCAGGCAGGGCCGCTGCACACAGCCTAGGAGGTACTCCCCGCACTTCAAGGACAGCAGAACGTCTCTGGGGACAAAGCAAGAGCATGTCACCTCCCCAGACTAGAGCCAGTGTTCAGGATGACTTTTCTAGACTAAGGCACAGCTGTTCAAACTGTGTAGAGGGAAAGGTGGGAGGTGATGCTGTAATCATTGCAACCGCTTCTGGGCCTGACACATGAAGGAGAGAAGTGGGGGGGAGTGTTCTGAGCTGTGAGTGACCTGAGGGTTTCACTCACATAACATCCTCAATTCTCTGCCTTGGGCAGGGAGGCAGGGAGAGTGAGCAGGTGCAGGTCCTCGGGTGCAGCCAGCATTTATGGAAGAGGGAGCCTGTCGCGTGGGCAGGTTGGATGCACCTTTGTCATCAGTTATCTGGGGGGAGGACAGTGCTCCATTCACCACCCCAGGAACAAGCAGGCGCTCTGTCAAACTAAGAAGGACCAGGCAGAGGTCAACTGGTTGAAAGAGATTCACAGGAAAGACAGAGAGGCTAGTGGGTCATGGGTTAGCCAGCAACAAGGGTAGTGGGAGGAGATAAGTGACCCTCGGCCTAAAGCCTGAGCACCAACGAGAGCACAAAGTGGAGGGAAAATGTCTTTTCTTGTTGGATAATGACCTTCTTTCTAGCTCGTTGCTATTACAAACAGAAAAAAAAGGAATAATCATCTAAAAATGGATTTAAATGATATTTTTAAGTAAAGAGAAAAAGAAAAATCCATCGAAATGAAGAAAATCAGACCATTAAAATGCTTAAAGATGCGTAAATGTTTGCAGAACCTCTCTATGGGAAATAAATTACTCAGATGGGGGAAACTTGTGATTGGGGATGCTCCATGCTGGGGACATTTGTGTGTGCCCAGATTGCCTTGGATGAGTCTATTTTTTGCCATGTTGGTTCTGCTGGGCAATGTCGTCTTCCCATGTCTCTGAGAGTGACAGATTCCAGAAAGCTGGCAGAGAGGCAGGGTTTGTCAGAGGACAGACATGAGATCCAGAAATAGGCCAGAGCCAGTCAAGAGTGATGAAAAGATAAACAAGGCCCAGCGAAGCTGCAGGGGATGGGGACCGCTCTCAGCAGCCGTGTCACCGAAAGGGTGAACAGATCTTAGTAGAGTCCACTTCCGCAAGAGCAGCTGCAACCTACAGATCAACTCTCTGCCTCAGTCGATAGGGTGGGCCAGGCTGCTGAAGAGACACATCTATACATCCAGTTGCAAGCTGGAGCAAGTAAATATGGAAAGAGCCAGGCAAGGGCTAGCAGAGAGCTCAAGCAACTGGCAGTCATTTGTGCATTTCCAACCAGTTATTTGAGCTTCACGTGATGCTGTCACAGGTAACCATGTGAACGCAATTACTGTCACCCAGTCACCAACTCCTGCAGGAGCAAGGACTTTTAGAGATTGGCTTCTAAATGATGTAACTCTCTTGGAAAAGTAACTTAACTATTCCCACTCTGCGACTGCGTTCATTTCCATGGCAGCAGGACGTGCTTCCAGAATGCCTGCCAGCTGTAGCTGTGAATGGGGAGAAATGTAGCTCCTGGAGCACACAGAGGCCAGGCACCAGCTTCTCTCAGTTTCTCTGTCTCCTGAGTTCAGCATCCGTTTGTTCATTCGTTCATTCTTCATTCATTCATAAAACACATATTTAAGTACCCACTATGCCTCAAGCACAGTCTAAGTTCTACGAAAGAGAGGTGAACAAGCTCCATTTCTGACTGCAGACAGGTTTCTGATATTGACTAAGTTTTCATCCCCGGAAGATGGTGACTATATCTTGTCAAATAAAAACAAATCCAGAATTAGAGAGGGAGGAAGAGACTTTAATTAGAAAGACGATAGCAATATGGAGAACGTTCCCATCTCAGAAATCTGTGAGTGTCTCAAAATCAAACAGAAATAAGGTTTTCTTTTACAGGGTAAAGGGAGGACAAGCAGAGGTAAGCAAACGGTTGGAAGGGGAGCTGGGCACGCAAGGGGTGAGGTCTGGCAGGAATCTGCCTAGGAAAGACAGAGGGTCAGCCGGTTCCCAGGAGGAGCTGATAAGGGGTCACAATCCACTTTCGTTTTTTTGAGACAGAGTCTCACACTGTCATCCGGACTGGAGTGCAGGGGAGTGATCTCGGCTCACTGCAACCTCTGCCTCCCAGGTTCAAGCGATTCTCCTGCCTCAGCCTCTTGAGTAGCTTGGATTATAGGCAACTGTCACCATGCCTGGCTAATTTGTTTGTATTTTCAGTAGAGAAGGGGTTTCACCATGTTGGCCAGGCTGGTCTTGAACTCCTGACCTCATGATTCGCCCTCCTTGGTCTCCCAAAGTGCTGGGACAATCCATTTTCTGTTGCGCTTGCTCAGGCTTGGAGGAAAGCAGATCTCAGAAGCCTGGAAGGAAAAGAGAAGCTGCCTAAACCCTGGCCAAGCCAAAGCAGAGGAGGCCTCTGTGGACACCTGGTCAATCTCTAGTAACTGATGCTTTGGATGAGTGTCAGATGGGCGGCTCATGATGAACACTAGACCTCAGCTGATGAGCTGCATTCCTCAACCATTTTCCAATAACCATCCGCTCACACGTCCACACACAGGCAGACCCACAGGGATCCTTTCCTGTGGTGATTTTGATTGCCTTACTCTATATTTTATCGTTTTCTAGGCCACAAACAGCAGCTTCCTTCTGATGGGTAAAATTCAACCTAATTAAACTTGAAGCACCCCCATTTGACAAAGAAAGACGAAGAAACAGATATATTCCTTTGTTTCTTGAATAGAAAAACCAGAAGAATGGAAATAGGATTTATAACTTCCTGACTATGAGAGGAAAAAATACCAGAAATAAAATCTGATCTAACAAAAGGTACGAAAGAGGGCGGGAGGCAAAAAAGCATGGCAGAAAACTCAAAGTGTTAGGAAACATATCATTAATTGTAAGAAATTGTGAATAAGTTATCAATTAAAGGAAAGACATTCAGATTGGGTTTTTGAAAGTCCAGTTAGATGATTTATAAGTGTTCAGTTATGTATTGCTATATGACAAACTACTCTAAAACTTAGTGGTTTAATGGCCAGGTGTGGTGGCTTACCCCTGCAGTCCCATCACTTTGGGAGGCTGAGATGGGTGTATCACAAGGTCAGGAGTTCAAGACTAGCCTGGTCAAGATGGTGAAACTCTGTCTCTACTAAAAATACAAAAAGTAGTAGCCTGTAATTTCAGCTACTCGGAAGGCTGAGGCAAAGAACTGCTTGGACCTGGGAGGCTGAGGTTGCAGTGAGTCGAGATGGTGCCACTGTACTCTAGCCTGGGTGACAGAGCGAGACCCTGTCTTAAAAAATAAAAAATCTTAGTGGTTTAAGGCAATACATTTTTCACAATCCTGTAGGCTGGCGATCTGTGCGGTTCTTCTGCTGATCTTGCTGGAATCACTCATGTGCTGCTGTCAGCTGACAGCTCAGCCAGAGTTGGAGACTCCATGATGTCCCCTGTGCACGTGTGGGGGTTGGTAAATGGTTTTGACTGGGAGGCCTCAGTTCCCTTCCATTCGGTAGTTTTCCTATTGTAAAAATGACAGGAATACTCCCACTGCCCACTGGGCTGACTCACAGGCATTGGGACATGAAAGGGCAGGGTCACATGTTGTATGACAATATGAACTTGGGCTGGGCATGGTGGATGACATCTGTAATCCCAGCACTTTGGGATGCCGAGGTGGGAGGATCACTTGAGGCCAGGAGTTAGAGACCATCCTGGACAACACAGTAAGACCCCATCTTTACAAAAAATACACAAATTAGCCAGGCATGGTGCCATGTGCCTGTAGTCCTAGCTACCTGGAAGGCTGAGGCTGCAGTCAGCGGCGTTCACACCACTATACTCCAGCCAGGGCAACAGAGCAAGACCTTGTCTCAAAAACAAAACAACACAACACAAAACAAAACAAAAATGAACTTGTTCTAAGACTTTTGGCAGTGAAGCAGCTGGTAGTAGAGAAAAAACAAGGTTTGAGATGTATAGAGCCAAAAAGCTTGCGTAGGGAAAACTCTTCCCATTAGATATAGAAATTTGTAAGGAGAGTACTCAGTTCTCATTAAAGCTTGGTCAAAGCCAGCAGTTTCTCCTGCCAAGAATATATTCAACATTGCAAAATATACCAATACCTTCAAAATTCTGAGGGAAAATAATTTCAAATCTAGAATTCTATACCCAGCAAAACTATTAATGAATTGTACTTTTTACAAAAATTTCTTGAGTGAGAATCTTATGCAACCAAATTTATCAGAGTCCCTATGTCTGTGGGACACAAAACTGCAATAGTATTATAACTTCAAGACCATTTGTATAAAGTCATGTTTTATGAATATCAACTGTCAATAATAAAAAACAAATTTTGATCACACATGCAGAAGAAAAGACAGAATTGTCTTTTTATTTGCTCTCTGGAAAATATTACAAAACCATTACCATTAAGAAGTGCACTGGCTTTGTACTGTGATAACTTGACTAGCCTAAACTGTTTTTCAGAATTCCCTTTCTGGAATGTTTCCAGGCAGGCTGGCCACAAGAGATTTTTTTTTTTTTTGAGATGAAGTCTCATCCTGTCGCTCAGGCTGGAGTGCAAGGTGCGGTCTTGGCTCACTGCAACCTCCACCTTCCAGGTTCGAGCAATTTTCATGCTTCAATCTCTTGAGTAGCTGGTACTACAGGTGTGCACCACTACACTGGCTAATTTTTGTATTTTTAGCAGAGACTGGATTTTGTTATGTTGGCCAGGCTGGTCTCAAACTCCTGACCTCAGGTGATTCACCCACCTTGGCCTCCCAAAGTGCTGCGATTACAGGCATGAGCCACCTCACCCAGCCACAAGAGACATTTTTTTTTTAAAGACAGAGCTTCCCTCTTGTTGCCCAGGCTGGAGTGCAATGGCACAGTCTCAGCTCACTGCAATCTCCCCTCCCAGGTTCAACCAATTCTCCTGCTTCAGCCTCCCAAGAAGCTGGGATTACAGGCATGCACCACCATGCATGGCTAATTTTT